AGTTGTTGTCAAACAAAGAGAGTTAATGTTTAAAGTTTAAGTTAATACTTTAATTAAATAAATGCAAATTATAAGTATAGAATTATAGGAGGAAAAACACCCTGTAACTTTATGATAATGTGCTATGCCAATTAAAATAATTGTTTCCAGTGGAATTTTGTGATATATCATAGTATTTATCTTTGTACGATTTCCTGGCTTAGTATGGACATGGGTTTTGTCATGGAAAATCTTAAAGGTGTGCTGACAACACAGAAGAACTGGAACTGACATGCTCAAGACAGGCTCATGGAATTTTCCATTGGGCTCACCCAGCATGTGTCCCCTGGGCAACCCCAAGAGCTGTCAGTCAGGCTGACCTACTTTTCAGCCCTGCGCATGCTTGGTAACAGTGAAGAGCTCAAACTCACGCATGCTCAACCAGCTAAGAGCATGATGTCATTCGGCTAGAAAGTTCTTTGAGGGACACATTCTAATTGGCCACCAAATTGTTATAAAAGGTTAAGAAGCCCCTCCCTCGGGGGGAGATCCGTTCAACTGAGGACAGAGGCTACTTCTTAGGGACTGTCCCTCAGTTAGGTCTCCTCCAGCGTGGGCTCTCGCTGCTTTTCGTACCTTGGTCTTGCTGGATTGATTCTCTGGTTACTGGACTGTTCTGGCTTGGACTCTGACTTCGCTTTCGGATCACCCTCAACACACTGACTACGACTTACCTGGCTTTCGACTTCGGCAATCACCTCAACCATCCGATTGTCCTTCGGGACTGGCGTCACGACTCATCGAGTTACAGTTCATCCTATTGTTTGTGTTTATCCTTTCATAAGCTGTCGACCAGCTCTGGGACTAGCCAGCAGGCAGCCGCCCCTAGCTCCGGCTAGATAGCAAGGGCTTGCTGGTGAACCCCGTGAGCCGACACACCCCTCTGTTTGTTCAGTGTTACCACCCACTGTAACTGAAGATTGTTGCCTATGCCTCAAAAGCATAAGTCGAATAAATCCCACTTGTTTAAGAAACAATTACGCTTCCGTGCCTCAGACCTCCACGTCAATAATCCCGCCTGTTCGTGTTCCAATTGCCAACCCCGGCCCACCGTGACCTTGGGGCCCGATTCATTCACAGATTTTCCCCGACAGGTTTGTGCCTCATTGAAAAGAACAGAGATAAGAGAACGTACTTTGTTAAAGGAAGCACTATAGTGTATGCTGTGTTTTCAGCCAGAAGTTTATTAAACTTCAAAAATATTTAGAAACTCTCTCCACAAAAGTAGCCATTTCCTACCTGCAAAATGAGATTTGAAAGTAATGTATGTCAGTGTCCAGTTACTAAATTACTTCTTTTTATGTGTGGGGGGTTCTAACAACTAATAATTTGTTGTAAAGGGTGATATCAACCTGTGCTGATTTTTAAGCCAGTGCTGATTGATTTGCCTTGTTTGATGTATTATAAATCACACAAGGATAAAGTCACAGTGAAAATTCTATTAAACTTCTAAGGCAAGGAAGTACCATAAATAAAACAGTCTGAAATGCAAGACAGCAGCAATATGCTATTTCTTTTCTTATTTAAAAAAAGGAAAAAATGTTAAGTGTATAGCCAAGACCATTTTAACATTGAGCAAAATATCAGCAAATAAGTTGATTTTTTTTTTTCTCTATAGGAGTTGTTATTCCTAAACTTGTATTTTGAAATGTAGGAATATAGCACCTTTCATTTCACCATCCACAACATTACATCTGTTACTATGCCATTAATCATAATTAATAATCATTATTTCTTATGTTCGGCCAAGCTAAGGCTGAACAGAAAATTCTTACTAACTCCAGTAGCAGTTAGTGGAAGTAAGAACCTTGGCATCCAGCCCATCCACCTCCTCATTTTTTATTTTTTGCATTTCTAAAGTTCCTGTCATCCATACTGACAGAACTGACCTTGCTGAATTTCACACTGACATTTCGTTTGCTGCTTTCTTTTTTTCTGTAAACTTTCTTCAGTTTCCCTGTGTTCCTCTTTTGAATTATCCCTTCTCTCTATAAAAGCAGACACAGCTGTGAAATACAGTAATAATTATTTTGGAGTGATAAAAGTTTCATGATTAACCTCTAGTTTGTATGTGATTAAAAAGACACAGCTGCTTGAAATCAATGTCTCAAAATACAGCGAAATAGTCTGTGCTATTATATTGAACAACTTGAACTGAACTCTTTACAAGTTATGCACTAATGGGTAAAGTGTTAACTTAGATATTAAATAGAATGTATTTTCATTAGAATGGAAAATATACTGTACATCTTTTTTGTTTTGAAGTTGACTCTTATACATATTTTTTTCCTTCTTCACTTCTCTTTACATTTATAAATATATGATAAACTCAGACTGCTCCATTACATCTTACTATCTTAAAATAAGGTGTCAGATTTTCATCTTTGGGTTCTACTATAACATAAAGATATGACACAGCATATTTTATTGGGCAATTAATCCATGCCATAGGTGGACTGCAAGGTAAAAGGCTGCAAACCAAGTTCTCTGCTAGCTGAGGTGTACTTTAATGGAGCACTAAAACAGACCCTAAAGCATCTTAATCCTCTCATAATATGGCTATTAAATTCAATATTTTATTTAATAAGAATACTAAAGAAATAATCTTAAAAAGGAATTTAATTCTCAATGGTTTGTACATCTCTCAAAAAAATCTCCCTCGCAGGGGAAAGAAAGGAGAAAAGAGTGGAGGGAAAAGTTGCAGTGGCGATGCACTCAGTGGCACATGCATCCTCTGAGCATGGAGGTGCACCCCGTGCAAAAAGGCACTTCCAACACTGTTGGCAGTGCCTGCAGGTGGTCACCACTTGCTACCCTGCTCTTCACCACTGACACCGCCATCAGCGTCTGCAGGCAGTTAGTGATCACCACTGGCTGCCACCTCCACTTCCAGCAGTGTCTGTGGGTGGTCACCAACCCCTGGTCGGCACTCGCCACCTCCCCATCCCCTGCCACCAACAGCACTAGTGGCATTTGCATGAGTTCCCTGCTTACCACTGCTGTGCACCTGCCACTGCCAGCACTGCCATGCCTCCCCAGCCACCGGGGGCAAGCATCATTCATGCATATGAAAAAGCTTGTTACTATCTGTTCCCCAACCATTTCCCAGGTAAATTACTTTAAAGTTTTTTTAGTTAATCCCCAATACTTTGAACTGTGTTCCAGAATCTTAGGAACTCCACCCTATACATAGAGGGCCTAAATTACAAGACACTACCTGGCCTTGTATCGAGTCCCACTAAGATGCCTTGTTGGACTTGGTGTTGGCCACGGGCAATGACCTGGTGAGGGGGCTGCGGGTGCTTGACCCCCTGGGCGACAGTGACCACTGCCTGCTTGAATTCACCATTCAACGCAAGGTGGCAAAGGCAAGCAGTCAGGTGGTGGCCCTAGATTTTAGGAGGGCAAATTTCAACGAGCTAAGAAGGATAGTTGGAGAAGCGCTGAAGACTCAGACAGGAGGGGAGCCGGGTGTCCAAGGGGAGTGGTCGCTCCTTAAGGAGACGATCCTCCAAGCCCAGAGGAAGGTAATCCCCAGGAGGGTCAAA